TTCCTGGGATGAAACTAGGTGTTAATCATAGGACTGGGAGAAAATTTGTCTCTTACATCATGGTCTGCCGATCACAATTTCGCCTCAGGAATTTTTACGCTAGAATGGGATCCAGCCAGACATAGATTGATTGTTAAACGGCGACGGTTGGTTTATTGGACCAGTGGGGACTTGAAAAATTATACGGACGAGAACTCGAGATTGAATGTCAAGGAATTTGAGAATATAGTAGTCCCTCAACCCAATATTTTCAATCTCAATTACAATTTCACCTATGTTTCAAATGGTGTGGAGGATTACTTCAGCTACTCCCTTATCATAGACCCCAAGTTGACATCTGAAAATCGAAATACTGTTTCTGGATTGCGGCTGAAATTTAACGGGGATATATATGATATGAAAAGTCTAATGATAGCACCAGTAAGTCTCTGTTATGGTAATAAAATACGAGGCTGTGAATTATGGGAGCAGCCAAGTTGCAGGAATCATAATGAGTCATTTGATTCGAAATCAGGGCATTTCGCTAATGGAGATGGGAGCCAGCCAATTGCAGATGCTAATGCAAGTCATACTGAGAGTGACTGCAGAGACAACTGCTGGAAGGACTGTGAATGTGTAGGCTTTACGAGTGGATTGGAATATGGATGTTCATACTGGAGAGGGAAAAATTGGACTTTTGTCCAGAGTGATGATGGTTCTGAACCCAAACTATTCGTTCTTGTTTCAGAGGCTTCAAACAAAACAGAGTTTCCAACCAAACGTAAGTTCATATCATTTTATCTAGAATTTTTCACCATATGCATACATTTCCTTACTTCAATTCCTCTGTTTGGGGTTTATAATCTCTCTCTCTCTCTTATTTTCTATATTTTTTTCATTTGGGTTCTGAACCTAAACAATTCTTTCAGAGGCTTCAAACAAAACAGAGTCTTCAGCCAAAAGTAAGTTCATATCATTTTATGAAGAATTTTTCACCATATGCATACATTTCCTTACTTCAATTCCTCTGTTTGGGGTTTAGAATCTCACTC